TTTAATATGCTGATTAATATTATTATCTCATTAATCAAACTATCGTAAAACTATTATTATTATTAATATTATTATTCTTATTATTATTATTATTAATATATTATTATTATTATCATATTAATATTGTTATTATTATTATTATTATTATTATTATTATTATTATTATTATTAATTTACGATAAAACAGGATAGGGAGCACACAAAACATTAGTTAGCATTTTGATTTCACAAACATAAGGTGATTTACTTAATTTATTATTATCAGTGGCGGCCCCTGGAATGCAAAATAGGATAGGTGTGGATAAAAATTATCACAGAAAATAAACTTATAATTTGTAAGATTATTTTTTAAAACAGAACCAAATACATTACGGTAGATAACATTTTTATTTAAAAGCAGGTTTTGCATGGACGTAATTTTATTTAATATACTGATTAATATTATTATCTCGTTAATCAAACTATCGTAAAATTATTATTATTATTATCATTATTATTATTACTATTTTTATTATTATTATTGTTATTATTATTATATTATTATTATTGTTATTATTATATTATATTATTATTATTTATTATTATTATTATTATTATTATTATTATTATTAATTTACGATAAAACAGGACTAGGGAGATAGGGAGCACACAAAACATTAGTTAGCATTTTGATTTCAATCAATCAATCAACGTGACATTTATTTCACCAAAGACAACAAAAAACAACATACAATGGTGAGGGACCAGTTCAGAAGCCTAGGCTTGTCTCCACTGTCCCTTTAACAAATACAAAGACAAAAATAAAAAAAAAAGTAAAAAAAAAAAAAAAGAAACACAAACAAACAAAACAAATTATAAACATAATGTGATTACAAACATAAGGTGATCTACTTAATTTATCATTATCAGTGGCGGCCCCAGGAATACAGAGAGAAGGACTTGCACAATTTGGGAAAGTAGATCACCTAAGCCCCACCATGGTTGGGGCTGAAGAAAGAAAATTTATGATTGTGACACCTCTAGATTGCCAGAAAATGGCACTCTCAGGCCTAAATTTTAATTATAATTTTGCTTTTGTTTTTTCCATTAAAAAAATAATAATTTTGACAAATTTAGGGTTGGCTCGGCCCCACCCCACTTGAATTCGCCACTGATTATTATGACGTCATTGTGAGCTTGCGTCAACGTAACACTGGAGTAAAATTTTGGTATCACTAAATCGAAATAGATGTCCATGTCAAAGGCTGTATAATTAT